AGTTTGTATGGGCCCAGCTGGTCCAAAATAACTATTTTCAACAATTTAATCCAGCTGGGCAAGCTGTATAAACTATATGTAGCTTCAGCTACATACAGTGTACAGCCTTGTGTTCTGGCAGTGAGATGAGAGCCATTCGTAGGCAGATTTGTATTCTCTGACTGAAGTTTCCCAGCCACTGCTTGCCACTGTCCAATTGTCTTTTTGGTGGCAGTATAACCTAAAAGTGAAAGACTTGCTGGGTCCCTCAATAGACTCCTAGAAAATTATTTGACTGTGAGTAGAATTATCTAATTTTAGCAAGTGAAAAATGTACTGGCACCAAATTGTTTTTACCAATGTTTCTCCTCATTGCAGAGGTTTGCCCTCTTAAAAGCACTAGAGAATTTTAGCGGACGTCTGGAGGGAACTTCATCCAACTGAACGTGACTTTACGTTCTATTCCAATCCTCATGACAGTTTTTGTAGAATTGATCATATATTCATGCAGGTCCGGCAGCTCCCCTCGGTCCGGCGGATAACTATTCCTTCCTCCTCACCTGGTCAGACCATGATCCTTTGGTACTCCTCCTTGCCCTTTCTGGGTCAGAACGACGCCCTTTTCATTGGCGCATCAATGACTCTTTGCTGACCACTCAGGCTACCTGCCAACAAATAGAATTCTTTTTACGGACATACTTTGCGGAAAACTCGGGATCGGTTTCTTCAGCAGTGCCCCTATGGGAAGCGCATAAGGCCACGGTGCGGGGTCATGTTATACAGCTGGCTGCGGTCCGTAAGCGGGAGTGGGAACGCCGACTCCTGGAGCTTCATTCTCTCCTGGCCTCTGCGGATGCGCGTTGGAAGTCATCTCCATCCGTGGCCCATAAACGCGCTCGGGACGCTCTGGCGACAGAATTGGACCTCCTTGCCTCTTCGGAGGCGGAACGGGCCCTGCGTTGGACCAGACATAAATTCTATTCATGCGCTAATAAGCCCGGTCCCATGCTAGCCAGGAAACTCAATTCTGTGGGGAAACCCCATAAACCAATTCGACTTCGACTTTCCACAGGTGGCTGTACTTCTAATCCCCAGCAGATTGTTTCCCGATTCTTGGACTTCCTTTCGCGCCTCTATGCTGCCCCAGATCCCTTCCCTGTGGCCCAGGCAGAGGCATTCTTTCAAGACCTCCATCTTCCCGGATTAACCGAGGCAGCACAGGCGGCCCTCAACGCTGGTGTCACCGTACCGGAAGTGCTCCAAGCGATCAAATCTTTACGGTCCACCGCGGCCCCAGGTCCCGACGGCTTCTCCGGTCTCTATTATAAAAAATTCTCAGCCCTATTGGCGCCCTTTTTAGCGGCCTATTTCAATGAGTTACGACAGGGCTCCTTACCCTCTTTGGACGCACTTAGGGCACATATCTCTATGATTCCTAAGACGACTGACGATGTCCAGGAACCGCAAGCCTTCCGGCCCATTTCTCTTCTTAATGAAGATCTGAAGATATTGGGCAAGATCCTTAGTTTTCGCATCAATAAATATTTGTGTAGCCTGGTCCACAGGGACCAAGTAGGGTTCGTCCCTGGGAGGCAGGCGGGGGATAACGTCCGTAAGGTGGTCCATCTTATACATTTTCTGCAACAACGGAAAATCCCAGGATTCCTACTGTCCTTGGACATATATAAAGCTTTTGATTCTCTATCCTGGGAATATCTGCGGTTTGTGCTGTCTCGTTGGGGTTTCGGGGATTCTATTCTCTCTTGGATTCAGGCCTTGTATTCCTTTCCTTTGGCCTCCGTTAAATACGCTGGATATTTCTCGGATCCCTTTCCTGTTGGGCGAGGGACGAGGCAGGGTTGCCCGCTGTCCCCGGCGCTCTTTGTCCTGGCGCTTGAGCCACTGGCTTCAGCGCTCCGGACCGATTGCAATATATCGGGGGTTCCATACGCGGGACAGGAGTTTAAGCTGAGCCTCTTTGCGGACGATGCCCTCTTGACCCTTACTAATCCTCTGACGACGCTTCCTAACTTGCAACGGGTTCTTGAGCGCTTCTCCTTGATTTCGGGTCTACGTATCAACTTGGATAAAAACCGTCGCTCTCAATATTACTCTGCCTTCAGATGTGGTTTCGCGCTTACAATCCCACTTCCCTTACCGGTGGGCTTCCTCTTCTCTTGAATACTTGGGCATTCGCTTGACCCCCACCTATGACTCCCTTTTTGCTGCAAATTATTATCCTTTGCTTAGCTCTTTATCTTCTCTTATGCATTCTTGGCAATTTCCGCACCTGTCTTGGATAGGACGGGTTCATTCAGTGAAAATGACCATCTTGCCGAAATTGTTATACTATTTTCGCACTCTCCCGGTGCGGGTTCCCCCTCATTTTCTTCGGTTGCTTCAGGCGAAGTTTATGCGTTTTATCTGGGCCAATAAACACCCCAGAGTCTCTAGAAATACGCTCTTTGCTCATAGACTCCAGGGTGGTCTTGGGGTACCCAATGTAACTAAGTATTATCAGGCGAGCCAGATTGCCCCGCTGGCTATGTTGCACGCTTCCTCCGATGTTCCTCTCTGGGTCCTGCTGGAACTACCTAATTGTGCCCCTATCGCACTGTCGACACTCCTATGGCTTCCCCCTGCCCTGCGCCCTATGGCACTGAGTCCGATGTTGCTCCATGGCCTACAAGTCTGGGACTCGGTACGTTATTCCAGTGGCCTGATGTCACCCTTTTTGCCTTTGCTTCCAATCGTTAACAACCCTCTTTTCCCGCCGGGTCTAGATCACCCGAGGGCATTTTCTTGGTGGGTGGCTCATGGTTTCTCACAGGTGCAGCACTTTTTGACTTTTCGGTCCTTTCCCACCTGGAATGTCCTTCGAGAGTCTCGGGATGTTCCCCCAGCGGAATTTTTTTCGGTACCTTCAATTGCGGCACTGGTTGCTTTCGCTGAGGGCCACTTCTGCTTTCCCATATCAGAAATCTGCCTTTGAACGGCTTTGCCAGCAGCGCCCGGGCGCCCCAGGCCTTATCTCCCTTCTTTACGCAGCTTTGAACAGACACTCGTCTCACACTTCTCTTTCATATGTTGTTCAGTGGGAACGCGACCTGGGAGTGACTGTGGATCCGGAGGACTGGAGTAAGGCCTGGTCCCTCATAGCTAAATGTTCATTTAATACGACCATGCTGGAAGCAGCCTACAAGGTATTGTTCCGTTGGTACTGGGTTCCAGCTCGTCTGGCCCAGGCTAACCCAGCCTGTAGTGATCAATGTTTTCGGGGCTGTGGCCATCGTGGCGATGTACTGCATATCTGGTGGTCATGCCCCAGGTTGGTTCGTTTTTGGTCTCGTGTGTTTGGCCTCCTCTTCACTTTGTTCCATCTCTCCATACGCCGGGACGCTCGGTATGCTTTGCTTCATTGCCCCATACCGGGCCTCTTGGCTCGTCAGCAGCGGTTGGCTTCCTATTTGTTTTTATCGGCCACTAGGACAATTGCTCAGGCCTGGAAGAGTCCGTTTGTACTTTTCCAGGGGGTGCGTGATCGTATGACTACTATGATGCTCAACGAACAGATGTCGAGTATATGCAACGACTCTCAACATAAATTTTTGAAAATATGGGAACCGTGGTTGCAATACGCCTTTCCCACGCTCCCCCCGGCCAGTGTGGGGAGGTAATGGAGTTTGATATTGGCGCTTGTGGACCCCTGCTCTTTGGTGTTTTTTTTTTTTTTTTTTTTTTCTTTCTCTCCTTTCTTCTCTGCTCTTCTTCTCTCCTTTTCTGTTTGTTTTGATGTGACAGTGGACAGCTGTCTTTAGTTGCGATAGTCAGAGTCTCACTGATATTATTGTAACCTATGTGCCATTGATAGCCCCTGCGTGGGCATACGTTTTGCTTTACTGGAATTAGAGTGTTGTCTACTCTATTTTGCCTTTTTTATCAGTGCAATTGATAGCCCCTGCGTGGGCGTGTTTTGTTGCCTCTGTTTTATACTGTTTAAAATTAATAAAAACCATTGAAATATAAAAAAAAAAAAAAAAAAGCACTAGAGAATTTGACACATCTGGGAACCCCTTTCATGTATTGCCCCACGCAGGGGCGGACTGACAACTCATGGGGCCCCCAGGCAATAGGGGATCATGGGGCCCCTGTGTCCTTGCCCAAATTCAAAGCCTATGAAAAAGGTACCAGGGGCATATCATGGGGCCCCCTACTGACCCCGGGCCCTCGGGCAGTGCCAGAGTTTCCAAATGGTCAGTCCGCCCCTGGCCCCACGCTGTAGCATTCCTTCCTACTACATCAGCTTGCTCCTGGCACAGCCATACAAGAGATTCTCTTGACGGCATAGGTCCAGTGTGGTAGCATGTCTGTGAGCACAGACTATGCTTTTATGCTGTTATATTAGTATGCTGTTGATAGGAAGAACAAATAGCAGTGTAACTTGACAGCCCATATTCTGCACTATTTTTGCCATTTTGCTCATAATTTTATATTTATGTTTTGGACAGAAGTTAGCAATTTCAACCACCTGAAAATATATATTTCTCATTTCTTACATCGAATTGACCATTAAGAGGGAGTTCCACACTCCTTGTTGGATTTCTTATTTGTGTATGTGGGCATGAACACCCAAATCCCCCTGCAGAACTGGAATAAGATTTGTAATTATGCAAGGAAAAATCATCAAGAGCTCATTAGTCTCCAATTAGGACTAAAATAATACTTTTAGGGGGAATTTTTTTTTTTTTTTTTTTTAAAGCTGGTGAACTTTTGGTAACATTATTATATATAGTGCCTTTTCTGCCGAAAGATTTTATTCTTCAAGACCAATTTTCTGATATGCATTTATATACTGCACTAACACAGCCAGGCTTAGCATGTATATATTTAAACTGTGTATATAACTATGTTCTGAAGTGCCACCTCAATTGTTATTGTCAAAAATACTTGTCTACAGTAATGGTGGTTTTATACCTATTCTTTTGTGTTTAATAACTTAAGTTTTTGGTTTTTTTTTATAGGTGTTGCTGCAAGAGAGACAGCACTGGCTTTGAAAACTTTGGCACAGGCAGCTAGAGGGGTTGCAGCTTCCACTAGTGATCCGCAAGCTGCCAGTGACATGCTGGACTCAGCCAGAGATGTGATGGATGGGTCAGCTAAACTCATCCAGGAAGCGAAGCAAGCTCTTGTGGCTCCAGGGGATGCAGAGGTCCAGCAAAGGCTGGCCCAAGTAAGTCACAATAAAAAGAAAATCAAATACAAGTAGTAATGTATGCTGCTTTAGTTTTCATCCATTAACTTAACCACTTCCCGACCGGCCGTTGTATATAAACGGCCGGACGGTGGCACTGCAGGGTCGGGTGGCCGTCTATAAACGGCCTCCCCGCACCCTGCTTGTGCGCACTCCCTGGGAGCGTGCAGCACTGCGATCCGGTGCCCGCTGTGTCCTCTGGACACAGTGAAACACCGATCGTGGGACGGGACCTCTGTACGAGGTCCCGATCATGTGATCACTGATTGGCCAATCAGTGATCACATGCAAAGTAGTAAGCAAGATGTCACTTCTGACATCATTGCTTACTACGTGTGAAATCTGTGAATGATCACAGAGGTCACATGGTACAAGGCTATTCACAAAAGCCTTGTACCATGTGACAAGCTGTGACCAATCACAGCTCACTCAGTTCTTCTCAATGAGTGCAAGAATGCACACAGAGAGAAAGAGAAATGATTGCTTTTACATCCTATATGGGTGTAAAAGCAATCAGTGTAAAAAAAAAAAAATCTTCCTCACCCCTCACAAGTAGTACAGTGTCACCATGGTGACACTGTACTGCTAGGGTGACAGTATGTAAAAAAAAAAAATAATAATAATATAAAAAAATAAAATAAAAATGTAAAAAAAAAAATGTTTAAAAATTATAATTTTTGCTTATAAACTAATTTGGATTTTTTTTTTTTACTAAAAAGATAACGGAATAAATAAATTTTGGCTAAGATTTATGATGAAATATTATTTATTTGCAAAATTTTATAAAAAAAAACACTTTTTTTCAAATTTTTTGGACATTTCATTTACATAGCAAAAAAAATACAAATCCCAGTGGTGAATAAATACCACCAAAATAAAGCTTTATCTATCTCAAAAAAAATGGTAAAAAATTCATTTGGGTACAGTGTTGCATGACCGCGCAATTGTCATTCAAAGTGTGATAGCGCTAAAAGCTGAAAATTGCCCTGGTCAGGAAAGGGGTAAAAGTGTCCGGTCTGGAAGTGGTTAAAGATATATAGATTTACAGTTCCTGACCTTCGTTTTCATTTATTGAGGGACACGGGAAATCATTCACCTTCAGGTTATATTGCCACTTGCAGACAAACTGGAGGCTCTACCTGCTTCAAGTTTTTTGCTCATGTAGGAGGAGATGGAAATATTTTCTTCAGGTCTGCTGCGTAAGACTAACCTGTTTTTGCTTGTATCATTTTTTTTTTTCTAGTTTAACATATATTTCTTCAGTTAATATTCTTTTCTACACTGCTGCTAGAGCTGGTCTGTCTGATTTGCAGATATCTGGGACAGTTGTTCTCAGCATGGCCTTTGGAGTGCTGCACTGCACTGGACGTTTAAAGAATAGCCTGGAAATGCCCTCATGGAACTCATTCCTGTGCACTTTCCAGAATCCGTTTTGGTAGTAAGCATTGAAGCAATTTCCAGAGCCACTGACATTTTCTTAACCCTTGCATTTTCTCTGAAGACTGACTTTGAGTGTGTTTGTCGGGTTAAGTGGCAGGTACTACTTCTAGTACACGAGTCTTTAAAATTCTGCGGAAAGGGTTAAAGGATAAGTTCACTTTTGGAGCCCATATTTAGGGTGGAACATGTAACATGTCCCATCTCCTGCCACCTCTCCCCCCCTCCCAGAATGTGACAGGGGTTCTTAATGTACCTGCTATCTCTTTTAGAAAAGTGCACAGGCATGCAAGGTTTCGCCCACACAATAACATCATTCATCCACAGTTTCCTATGGATGAACTACAAGTATTGTCTGCCTCTGCAGCAAGAATGCCTTGGTACATTTTTCCAATCATCCTTCCATCAATGAAATGAAGTTTGCCAGTACCGTATGCTGAAAATCAGCCCCACACCATGATGTTCCCACCTCCAAACTTCACTGTTGGTATGGTGTTTTTGGGGTGATGTGCAGTGCCATTTGCCCTCCAAACATGGTGTGTATTATGGCAACCAAAGAGTTCAATTTTGGTCTAATCTGACCAGACTGTATTCCCAGTATTTCACAGGCTTGTCTAAATGTTGTGCAGCAAACTTTAAACGAACTTCAACATGCTTTTTCTTCAGCAGTGGAGTCTTGCTTTGTGAGCGTGCATACAGGCCGTGGCAGTTGAGGGCCTTATTGTTTTCTTGGAAACAATTGTACCTGCTACTTCCAGGTCTTTCTGAAGCTCTCCAAAAGTGGTCCTTGGCTCTTGCACAATTCTTCTGATTATTTTCACTTCACTGTTAGGAATCTTGCAAGGAGCACCTGGTCATATACAGTGAAATTATGTTCTTTCCACTTCTGGATTACGGCCCCATCAATGCTCACTGGAACATTCAGAAGTTTACAATTTCTATAACCAATGCCATCAGTATGTTTTGCAACATTAACGTTGTAAATAGCTTGGTAATGTGACACCTTTTTTTATAGGCCATCAGTTGAGACTGAACTAGCTGACATTAGTTTGTACTGACAAGTAACAGGATTGCTTTCTAATTACTGATAGATTTCAGCTGGTGTCTTGGCTTTCCATTCCATGGCTTTGCACCTCCCTTTCTTCATGTGCAATACTTTTTCCCTGTGTCATTCCATTTTATTACACATCACTTAATTTCTGAACTTGTTTGTTTTTGGTTTCTTTGTATGAATATATATATGTGTGTGTGTGTGTGTGTGTGTGTGTGTGTGTGAAATGCCTTGAAAAATTATTCATGAACCTTGAAATTTTCCACATTGTGTCATGTTACAACCAAAAGCGTCAATGTATTTTATTGGGATTTTATGTGATAGAACACAAAGTGGCACATAATTGTGAAATGGAAGGAAAATGATAAATGGTTTGCAAATTTTTTACAAATAAATCTGAAAAGTGTGGCGTGCATTTGTATTCAGCCCCCTTTACTCTGATACCTAGCTAAAATCTAGTGGAACCAATTGCCTTCAGAAGTCACCTAATTAGGAAACAGAGTCCACCTGTGTGTAATTTAATCTCAGTATAAATGCAGCTGTTCTGTGAAGCCCTCAGAGATTTGTTAGAGAACATTAGTGAACAAACAGCATCATGAACGCCAAGGAACACACCAGACAGGTCAGGGATAAAGTTGTGGATAAGTTTGAAGCAGGGTCGGGTTATGAAAAAAAAAAAATCATAAGCTTTGAATATCTCACGGAGCACTGTTCAATCCCTCATCCAAAAATAGAAAGTGTGGCACAACTTCAAACCTACCAAGACATGGCCATCCTACCTAAACTGACAGGCTGGGCAAGGAGAGCATTAATCAGAGAAGCAGCCAAGAGGCCCATGGTAACCCTGGAGGAGCTGCAGAGATCCACAGCTCAGGTGGGAGAATCTGTCTACAGGACAACTATAAGTCGTGCACTCCACAAGTGTGGCCTTTATGGAAGAGTGGCAAGAAGAAAGACATTGTTGAAAGAAAGCCATAAGAAGTCCCATTTTGCAGTTTGTGAGAAGCCATGTGAGGGACACAGTAAACATGTGGAAGAGATGGTGCTTTGGTCCGATGAGACCAAAATTGAATTTTTTGGCCTAAAAGCAAAACGCTATGTGTAACGGAAAATCATCATGTTGTGGGGATGCTTAAGCAGGGACAGGGAAGCTGGTCAGAGTTGATGGGAAGATGGATGGAGCCAAATACAGGGCAATCTTAGAAGAAAAGCTGTTGGAGTCTGCAAAAGACATGAGACTGGGGCAGAGGTTCACCTTCCAGAAGGACAGCGACCCTAAACATACAGCCAGTTCTACAATGGAATGATTTAGAACAAAGCATATTCATGTGTTAGAATGGCCCAGTCAAAGTCCAGACCTAAATCTAATTGAGAATCTGTGGCAAGACCTGAAAATTGTTGTTCACAGACGCTCTCCATCCAATCTGACAGAGCTATTTTACAAAGAAAAATGGGCAAACATTTCACTCTCTAGATGTGCAAAGCCGGTAGAGACATACCCAAAAAGACTTGCAGTTGTAATTGCAGTAAAGGTGGTTCTCTACAAGTATTGACTCAACGGGGCTGAATACAAATGCATGCCACACTTTTCGGATATTTATTTGTAAAAAAAATGTCAAACCATTTATCATTTTTCTTCCACTTCACAATTATGTGCCACTTTGTGTTGGTCTAGCAAATAAAATCCCAATAAAATACATTTACTTTTTTGGTTGTAACATGACAAAATGTGGAAAATTTCAAGGCGCATGAATAATTTTTCAAGGCACTCTATATGCGAGAGAGATTATTCCCCTACCCTTCTTCAGTGACAGACAATTGCAGTGAAGTTCACTATCCTCCAGCATTGTTCCCCTCTCCCCAAGGCCAGGATGTGTACTGTGAGGCAGAGATAACTCTGCTTCAAAGTACAGTCTATGTCAGTGCCAGGTGCTGGAACTCACAAAGTGTTTGTGACTGACACTCTGGTGCCCAGCAGGCAGGTGTTGGTCCTAGCCCAAGACATGGCTGCATATAGTGAGACTGCAAGCTTCCTGCATTTGCATTGGGCAGCTGTGTGGGCTGCAGGCAGTCCCCAGTTATCTGCTTTTGGATGTCCTGAAGAAGAAAAACTTCCTGTGTTCCTCAATGAACTAGAAAGAAAAAAGAATTTTTTAAACTACCGTAAAAAAATTTTTTTGGAGTTCCACCATGCTCAAGTGCTCACTACATGCTTTGCTACAAAACTGAGTGATGCTAGTAGTAGGAGAGGTTATCCTGGGCTGGCCTACGGTTTATTTATTTTTCCAATGTCTAATCCTTAAGGTGGAAGTATAACTCAAATGTGAATGATTTCCTGTGACCCTCAATGGCTCCAAGAATAGATTTTACAGTGAGAACAAAAAAACCTGCTTTTTTGTTTTTCTTTTGATAAAATTCTAACTGTCCTCTTAAAGGTGGCAAAAGCTGTATCTCACTCACTGAATAACTGTGTGAATTGCCTTCCTGGGCAAAAGGATGTGGACATGGCCTTAAAGAGCATTGGAGAGTCCAGTAAAAAGCTTTTAGTGGATTCGGTAAGTTTTGTATCACACTAGGCTAAATGACAAAATTGTAAAAATACTTGATCAATGTGATATAGTCCTTTCCTGTTGTACATGGCCCCTGCATTCTACAATTTTTCTCTTGGACATAATTTATGTGTAATGCAAAGGTTTTTGGCTTTAAGTTTGTGGAATACTGCATATGCCCGAAATCTATAAAAAAAAAAAAAAAAGTATACCTGAATCTAAATTTAGATACAATTTTAAGAGCCTTTTTCCACATACAGGGGTGAGCTCATTCCCTAAGTTTGTTTTAAAGGACAAGCACTTGCAGTAGTCCTCCCTCCTTAGCTCATTATCTTCAGAACTACCCTTTTGTTTGTGTGTTTTCCAATGAAATGCTATTTTTGTTAATAACAAGCAAAACTGTTTTGTTTTCTCACAAAATGTATGTCTACAAAGCAGATGTCTCCAAGTTTGTAGCAACTAATGGATACATTTTATTGGGGATATACAGATATATAAACCTGGTTGGAAGATCTTTAGCTGCTTTGTCTGAAATGTGCTTCTCATATGTTAGAATGTGAAGTCGCCTGATAAAATATTGAGTAAAAAAAACTTTACCATGTTCAGCATTTAGCAGAGACATCACAAAGCAATAATGCCTCATGCACACTTAGAAGCTGAAAAATGTTTTTAACTACAGGAGCTTTCAGAATAAAAAATGTACTAAAAAGCCGCGTTTATGCGTGAACCTTAATGCGAATACCTTAATTTGCTGTTAATTCATTCTATTTGCCTGAATTCTGGTCATTAGAATGCATTAACATGAGCTAATGCATGTTTTTTTCACTTTTGAGTGGTTTTTAAGCCCAAAAGTCTTCTCCTGAACACACTATTGATGGTTTTTATTTCTGCCTGTAAACTCCCCTACCACTACACTATCTGGAAACGCCTATAGTTTGCATGGACACACAGACTAACATGAAGGAGAGTTAACAGGCAGAGAAAAATAAAAGCTCAAATGGCTGAAGGAGCAGCTTCTTTGAGCTGCAGTGTGCATGAGGCCTAATTGTTCTCTCAGATGATTTTCTTTTCTCATTTTACTAGTTTAGGAATGCTGAAATTCCAGTACTGCTTGCAGAAAACCCTTTTTTCATAGTAGCGACTATGTATACTGCTGTTCATTTTAATGCAGTACATGCCTGTGTTTGTCTTGAAAATAACAGAGGTGTGTTTTTAACCGTCCATTTAGCTTCCTCCAAGTACCAAGTCTTTCCAGGAGGCACAGAGTGAGCTAAATCAGGCAGCAGAGGACCTTAACCAGTCTGCTGGAGAAGTGGTCCATGCTTCCCGTGGCCAGAGTGGGGAGCTGGCAGCTGCTTCTGGAAAATTCAGTGAAGATTTTGATGAGTTCCTCGATGCTGGTCTTGAAATGGCTGGACAGACCCAGGTATGAAATGTCAGCAATTCTGTGTGGTCACAGTTTTAATTTACTGCTCGATTCAAAAGAATGGATTGCCTTTACTTAAAACATATACCTTTTTAAAACACTGCAACAGCTTGAATCCAGTATTAAAGTGGAACTAAACGTAAAACAAAAAAAAAAAGTTGGAAACAGGAAGGCTTTTTTTACTGCAGAAGAGATATGCAATGTCTTTTCTGCGTTAAATTACACTTAACTGCCTATTTACAATGCTCTGATTGTAAATGAGCTTCACATGATGACTGCACTCCTACACCAGCCAATCAAAACAGCCGAAAACTGGCACCCAGAGGAACCTGGGGAGAAGATGCTGGTAAGCGACATTACAGGCGTTGGAACTAAGCTAAGTATTTGTGCCTTTAGTTCCACTTTAAGGGAGCAGGAGCTGCTTTAACAAAAATACCAGTGCTGAGTCTGTTTTGCAGCAAGTCATTTTCTTAGAATCTTCTTTTGGACTTAAAAGCACACTATACGGAGCTCTAGACATATGAACTGGGACATTAAATAAAATGGTCCTTACTTTGGAACTGCTAGCTTATCTGCCGCAGTTACAAATACGACGTGTAGTTCATTAATTTACAGTTCTCTGTGAATTACTGATGTGGCTTTGCAGGGGTTGTGGTCATGGCCGCTTTACAACATGTTACACCCACATGTCTCATTCACACTTGGTGTTTACTGAATGCACAACAAAAAGCTCAGGGAATGTGCTGTAGTCGCATGACGTTGCATGCCCAAAAATGTTCTGCAGCATCTTTTACATGCTTAGGGCAAGCCCATTCAAGTGAGTGGGCTACCCTATGCACGGCACGTGAAAAACAGAGGAAAAAGCAACAACCGGGAAGTATGATTGGGGCCCTAATATGGGTGTAACAAGTTGCTAAAACTGGAGTTAGCCCTTTAATATTGTCAATTTATTTAATTTCATATTTAAACTGAGTGTTGGTACAGATATTTAAAACTAAAAAAGTTAACATTTAAAAAAAAAATTGTCTCGGTAAAGCAGAGAGATGCTGTGTAAAGTATGAGTTATTTGGTATGATTCAGTCACTACTATGTAAATAAATAAAATAATAGTTGGCTATTTTTAAAGTAGCATCTAACTTTAAAATGTCAATATTTGCTTACAGTTTAACAAGCACTGAACAAAAAACACAATGAATTCACTCAGTGCTGTTGCGTTTATTTTTTACATATATTCTTCATGTAATGTTGCCTTCTCTTTTTGCTTATAAGAACTGTTATAACTAATTCAATATTAATATCCCTATTCTACATTGGCCACAAAAAACATAAATTGATCCCCTATCAGCTCCTGAAAATAAAGAAGCAGCTCCAGCTGCCGCACCTGATTTTGTACACCGCCCCTACAGATTAATCCATTAGTGATGCGGCGCCACTCTTCTGGGTTGAATGACACCAAGCGCCATTCGGCACACATCGTTTTTGCTCAGGGTGTCAAGGCTCTGGCCAATGCTTTGTCAGGACAAGTCTGTTCATTGGAGAAGAGCAGGCTTAGCTGCCAGCATAGCTAGAGAACTGACCACTCTGTGCTGTCCTGCTTAGTGTGGTTGGTTTTTAATAATAAAGCAGAGGGACTGACAGGAACACCAGGGATTTCACACAAGCAATACAAAGAAAACAGATTGTTTTTATCATGCAAGTACATAATACAGCAGGCACCTATGAAGGAATATGAAATGTCGGTGTTACATATTCTTTAAAACGGTCAGTTGTATTTTTTTTCTTGTACACATAGAAGAATGTAAAAAGTAGAAAAAAGAAAAACCGACATAATGATACATGCATACATAAAGTATCAGCAATTTGTTTGTGACTAATAAACATTTATGGTGATAGTAGATTGTTGAAGTGACTGAGAGACCAGAAAAGAATGATGCTCAAGTAGGGTCACCCAGAAAAATGGTATCCCTTTGGGTATACATAGGATTAAGATATGCTTTAAGCTGCATATGTGAATCTTGAAAAAAAAATCCCCACAATTACACATTTTAAACAAAAGTGAAAAGCAGAATTGCAAAAAAAGAATTTTTTTCTCTTTTGGTTTATATGTACCTATTCTGTCACTTTATTTTATTGACTTTGAACCATTGCAAAGTTCTGAAATGGATAAGGTTCATTGTGCTGAATAATACATGATGCAGTAACAGTGAGATACCAGAGACAGGGCATTGCTGACTTATTAACAAAACCTGAGTGGCAATTCAGGGTGTATGACAAGACCGGAATACATGGAGTTATAAGCAGCTGTTTACACTTGGAAAGGAGGCCTGTCACAGCCATGCAGTCTCATACCCCTGTATGTACTCTTGTTCTACTCACTGTAGACCTCTTACATAGTTGTTGTTTCATAGAACAAAGATGACCAGCTGCAAGTTATAGGGAATCTGAAGACCATCTCAATGGCATCTAGCAAACTGCTTCTTGCTGCAAAGTCTCTTTCTGTGGATTCTGGGGCTCCAAGTGCCAAGAATCTTCTGGCGGCAGCTGCGAGGTGGGAGAAAGCCGTCACCTTTTTGTTTGTTTTATATCTCAGTGCTTTTTTTTTTATATATATATATATATATATACTTTTCCTACACATGAGAATGTTTCTATATCTCCTTTCTCAAACCAAAATTCTTTTTTTCCTTCATATATTCATCTTTCTTTTCTCTTGTTCATGCTTCTATGCAAAACTGTCATTTTATCTTCCATAATGAATAAAATATTAAAGCTTGTCTCTGTGTGAACAGAATACCAGTATGCACATTGTAGTTTCACAGAAATTTTCTTTGTGTGTTTCCAGGGCCGTGACAGAGAGCATAAACCAACTGATCACTTTATGTACCCAGCAGGCTCCAGGACAGAAGGAATGTGATAATGCTCTGCGTGAGCTGGAGGTCTGTTTTCTGATTTTAGACTTTGATATGCGTCTAAAGACTTGATATTTATGCAGTACCCCTATCTCTTTGCTGAATTACTGCTATTAAATTGATTTTAATTTTTTTTTTTTTCGGTTCAGATACATCTAATCATATATCGGATTTCATTTCACACAGGACTTTTCACTTTGAACACAAATCGTTTCTGTCTCCTTTTTTCTCTTTTCAATTGAAATCACATTATGCTGGAAATATGTCATTTAGCTATGTGAGCTAATTGAGGAGATTATGAAATGGGTAATATAGCTACAATTTGAAAATTCCTTTTTAAATTATATGAAAATAGTAGTTCATAATACCAATAGCCGGCACACCACAATATCTGTTGCAGTAAGATTTTGGTGAGTTTTAGTCATGGATGGAGTTATGCCTGCTTTGGCTGTTTATCTTCTTAGAATGTGTTGCTTGTTTTTTTTTTCTTTCAGACAGTAAAGGGCATGCTTGAGAACCCCAATGAGCCAGTCAGTGACCTTTCATACTTTGACTGCATAGAAAGTGTGATGGAGAACTCGAAGGTAATGTAATGCACATGTATTACAGAGATCACAAATTTACCTAGTCTGATAATAAAGTTTGTGTCTTGTTCTACTACCCTTTTAACAGGTTCTTGGAGAATCAATGGCAGGAATATCTCAGAATGCCAAAACAGGAGACTTGCCATCCTTTGGGGAATGTGTGAGCGTAGCATCTAAGGCTCTGTGTGGTCTTACAGAAGCTGCTGCCCAGGTGAGGTTCTAAGTCCTTGTCATATGTTAAGCAGGGCTTGACTTGTACTGATTTTGTGGGCAGATATGTAAAGTACAGCTGTACTTCTAGTACTTGGTTGCCCCAGGTTCTCCGATATGTGCATTTTCCTTGGTACAACCCAAGCTCTTCTTAAAAATTCTGGAACCAGTTCTGCTCCCCCTGCACATACATACCACAGTCTCCATTTATTTTTGAGACTGATATGAGACTTGTAATGCCTCATGCACACTGAGCATAAAAAAATGCTGCTTACATAGGCATTTTGTTTGTTTTTTTTCTTTCAGCCTGCAGAAGCAGCTCTATTAGCCAATGTGTCCATACTCATTTGGGCTTATACAAGCACATTTGAAGAGGAGCATTTACAGGCTAAAAGAAAAAAAAAAAAAAAATCAAAAGTGCATTTTTGAGAATAGTTTCAGGCAGAAAAAATGCTTTGACAAACACACAAAATCAGCTTTTCGGCATGTTTCGGGATTTAAATTGATAAAAGTGAGAAATGACCATAGGGAAATGTTTTTGTAGAAAAACAAAGCTTATAAATGCAAACACACATGAACGCCTATTTAATACGAGCCATTATGAGTGTTTTTATGCCAGAGGTTCTGTCATTTTTTTCAGGGACCTTGTTTGCATAGACCCTAAAGGGTGCTATGAGAGAGTATCTTGCTCTAAAAAAAGGGTACTGCATTAGGAGTACATGTCCTTAAAACTGTATTTACATTGTTGTGGAGCATTACCCCACATTATGGTGCATTGCATTAAAGGGGTTGTAAACCTCAGGCATGAAATATGAAAAAACATATCCTTCTGTACTGTGTATACATCTATGCTTCTCTCTTCTAAGCTCTGAGTGTGATATCTGTATGCTGCCTCTTCCTCTGTTATCAGCATGACTCACTTCTGTCAGCTTTTCCTGACACCTGTTGCTAAAATGGTTAAGGGAGGAAGCTGCAGCACTGACTCATATCCACATCTGTGCTTGTTATCTGTACTGTGTGAAGGGGGGTGTCGCCTTCCTTCCAATCCTGGCTCAGAGCTGTCAGCTTTGTAAAGACTTCAGAGCCTTGCCCCCTGATGCTAGAGCAAAGAAGAAATTACACACTGCATTTACAATTTATGTAGGAGGATTTGTTTAATCTCTGTGCTTCACTGGAGACTAGCCATTTCACTGGGTATATGTAACTGTTTACTACCACTTTAAGTCAGCCCTTTATATTTGAATGGGCTGCTTAATGCACCAAAATACAAGAATAATTTGGAGACTGCCAGGTTATACTGCACATACAGGAGGATTGGACACTGGCAAGGAGAAAAATTGTGGCCAGCCCATTATAACCCCTCCCTGCAAAGAAAAGCCTAACCCTTATTTGCTAGCTACCTTTTTGTCTTTTCTTCAAATAAGATTATTGCTACATTGCTGCTGAGATGGTTTCTCTGCACAGCTGTGCAGGTCAGCTTTTTCTAAACTTGATTTTGGAGTGTTGTACCCAGATCCCACCTGACAGGATGTGAGGAGCTTTCCTGGAACATCACTTTTGTGCACTGGGCTGTGCATAGTGGTACTTTTCAGACCTACATTTAATGTATTAGCTGCAAAGTGCTCTCCCAGTCCAGCCATGGGACAGCCCTAGATATGACCCTGTCACTTTGTGAGTGGACTGAGCTTTTGGAGCTTCCTCGTTATTAGGAGCTCAGAGTGCCTTTTTTAAAAATCCTATATCAACCGCAGAGGTGGTTAATACTCTTTGGAGCTGCCCCGGACACCCACCCTCATCAAGATTTGCCACCAGGAGCAAGAGTGTGCATATTCTCTAGCAGAAGAATCTTGGAGCTCAGTCTGGGAAGGCCAAGAAGGGTTCATTTTGTTACTTCTAGACAAAAGCCTCCTAAGCCAAGTCCAAGCTTTACTTTCCAGTCCATCCACAAATCCTGTGTTTTCAAGTCCCCCAAATACTCAGATACAATCAGGTCCATAAATATTGGGACATCGACACAATTCTAACATTTTTGGCTCTATACACCACCAAAATGGATTTGAAATTAAACGATCAAGATGTGCTTTAACTGCAGACTGTCAGCTTTAATTTGAGGGTATTTACATCCAAATCAGGTGAACGGTGTAGGAATTACAACAGTTTGCATATGTGCCTCCCACTTGTTAAGGGACCAAAAGTAATGGGACAATTGGCTTCTCAGCTGTTCCATGGCCAGGTGTGTGTTATTCCCTCATTATCCCAATTACAATGAGCAGATAAAAGGTCCAGAGTTCATTTCAAGTGTGCTATTTGCATTTGGAATCTGTTGCTGTCAACTCTCAAGATGAGATCCAAAGAGCTGTCACTATCAGTGAAGCAAGCCATCATTAGGCTGAAAAAACAAAACAAACCCATCAGAGAGATAGCAAAAACATTAGGCGCGGCCAAAACAACTGTTTGGAACATTCTTAAAAAGAAGGAATGCGCCGGTGAGCTCAGCAACACCAAAAGACCCGGAAGACCACGGAAAACAACTGTGGTGGATGACCGAAGAATTCTTTCCCTGGTGAAGAAAACACCCTTCACAACAGTTGGCCAGATCAAGAACACTCTCCAGGAGGTAGGTGTATGTGTGTCAAAGTCAACAATCAAGAGAAGACTTCACCAGAGTGAATACAGAGGGTTCACCACAAGATGGTAAACCATTGGTGAGCCTCAAAAACAGGAAGGCCAGATTAGAGTTTGCCAAAACTACATCTAAAAAAGCCTTCACAGTTCTGGAACAACATCCTATGGACAGATGAGACCGAGATCAACTTGTACCAGAGTGATGAGAAGAGAAGAGTATGGAGAAGGAAAGGAAACTGCTCATGATCCTAAGCATTCCACCTCATCAGTGAAGCATGGTGGTGGTAGTGTCATGGCGTGGGCATGTATGGCTGCCAATGGAACTGGTTCTCTTTTATTTATTGATGATGTGACTGCTGACAAAAGCAGCAGGATGAATTCTGCAGTGTTTCGGGCAATATTATCTGCTCATATTCAGCCAAATGCTTCAGAACTCATTGGACGCTGCTTCACAGTGCAGATGGACAATGACCCAAAGCATACTGCAAAAGCAACCAAAGAGTTTTTTAAGGGAAAGAAGTGGAATGTTATTGTCAGGGATCTCTGCGATCCCTGCCGCGATGGTCCCGGCGCAGGCGCACTGCTCCACCCAGTGCACGGGCACTAGGTCCGGGCCGGCCGCGGCGTTCGAGTTCGCGCATGCGCAGTAGAAGCCGCGGCCGCCCGCTGGGCACCAATGGCAGCGCAGGGCGGGATATTTAAAGGTCCCTGAGCTGTCATTTCGTTGCCTTCTGGTCTTACCTGCTTCCTGTGTTCCTGACCTGTGCCTAGTAAGTTATTGACCCGGATTGCCTTTGACCTTGCTGATTTCTCCTGCCCACATCCCTGCTTGCCTGACCTCTCTCCCTGGATGCCCCTTATTAGATCTGACCTCCTGTTGCTGACCTGGCGTGTGACCCGACGATTCTCTGCCTGCTCCCTTGTACCTTACCGTCCTCTACATTACCGACTCGGCCTGTCTGACTACGCACCTGCTCAGCCATCCATCCATCCATCCCATCGGGCTCACCCGACCTCCTCACATCTGGCTCTCCCTGGTTGGAACCCCTGGCGAACACCCCTACCACTGACAGGTGTGCTCAGTAGAGGCGACCTGGTCTCGGGGTACTACAAGTCCATCCCCACCATCAGGGGCCCTGGTGAACAAGTACCCCGGGGCTTAGACTCCGCGCTCTGGGCACGCCTGACCAGTGGAGTGCTAGTGGTGCCGCTCGGCGGTCCCTCACAGTTATGCAATGGCCAAGTCCATCACCTGACCTGAATCCGATTGAGCATGCATTTCACTTGCTGAAAACAAAACTGAAGGGAAAATGCCCCAAGAACAAGCAGGAACTGAAGACAGTTGCAGTAGAGGCCTGGCAGAGCATCACCAGGGATGAAACCCAGCGTCTGGTGATGTCTATGCGCTCCAGACTTCAGGCTGTAATTGACTGCAAAGGATTTGCAACCAAGTATTAAAAAGTGAAAGTTTGATTTATGATTATTATTCTGTCCCATTACTTTTGGTCCCTTAACAAGTGGGAGGCACATATGCAAACTGTTGTAATTTCTACACCGTTCACCTGATTTGGATGTAAATACCCTGAAATTAAGGTTTGACAGTCTGCAGTTAAAGCACATCTTGTTCGTTTCATTTCAAATCCATTGTGGTGGTGTATATAGCCAAAAATGTTAGAATTGTGTCGATGTCCCAATATTTATGGACCTGACTGTATATCTGCTTTATATGGGGGTTGTGCCCACTTACCAAATTGAGGGCCATCTGTTAGCCTTTGCAGACATTTGGGCAGTCATCTTCTCATATGCATTGAAACGGGAGGTAGCTTCCAGAGGCTGTTAGCTAGAAAACTGTACCTAGCCCCCTCCTCGGTTTATTACTTCCAACCTACTTGTGTTACTGCACAGATTAGCAGATCGCCATGCAATCCTAGCAGGTCTGCTGTATCTCATTGCCCCAGTCTCTCTGGAAAAATGGTTTCAGGGTTATACCCCAACCTGTTCAGTTTCCAAACCAGAAAGGGACATTTGACCTATCTTTGAACTCTATTGGGGTCAGACATTCCACATTGAATCCAACAGTTTTGTCCTAGCCTCCCTTCATAAGGAAAACTTTGTGGTCTCTTATGGACAGCAAGGACACTTACCTGTATGTTTCCATCTTTTCAGCGCATCAGCAATTCCTTTGCTGTGAGTCCCCAGCACTTCCAGTTTGTGACCCTGCGATTCAGCTTATTTTCCGTGCTTCAATTCTACAACAAATTGTTGGCTTCTGTGGTAGCCTTACTGTGCAGATATTTGGATAATCTCCTGTTAAGGAATCGTCTGGCACAGGTTCTGGGGGAGGGGGACATATAGCCCAGACCATCCAGACTTTGC